AGGTTTCGAGGCTGACGTTTGGCAACTCGAACCTTCAGCTCCCTCCTTAGATTTTCTATGGGATTAAGGTCTGGAGACTGGCTAGGCCACTCCAGGACCTTAATGTGCTTCTTCTTGAGCCACTCCTTTGTTGCCTTGGCCGTGTGTTTTGGGTCATTGTCATGCTGGAATACCCATCCACGACCCATTTTCAATGCCCTGGCTGAGGGAAGGAGGTTCTCACCCAAGATTTGACAGTACATGGCCACGTCCATCGTCCCTTTAATGTGGTGAAGTTGTCCTGTCCCCTTAGCAGAAAACACCCCCAAAGCATAATGTTTCCACCTCCATGTTTGACGGTGGGGATGGTGTTCTTGGGGTCATAGGCAGCATTCCTCCTCCTCCAAACACGGCGAGTTGAGTTGATGCCAAAGAGCTCCATTTTGGTCTCATCTGACCACAACACTTTCACCCAGTTGTCCTCTGAATCATTCAGATGTTCATTGGCAAACTTCAGACGGGCATGTATATGTGCTTTCTTGAGCAGGGGGACCTTGCGGGCGTTGCAGGATTTCAGTCCTTCACGGCGTAGTGTGTTACGAATTGTTTTCTTGGTGACTATGGTCCCAGCTGCCTTAAGATCATTGACAAGATCATCCCGTGTAGTTCTGGGCTGATTCCTCACCGTTCTCATGATCATTGCAACTCCACGAGGTGAGATCTTACATGGAGCCCCAGGCCGAGGGAGATTGACAGTTCTTTTGTGTTTCTTCCATTTGCGAATAATCGCACCAACTTTTGTCACCTTCTCACCAAGCTGCTTGGCAATGGTCTTGTAGCCCATTCCAGCCTTGTGTAGGTCTACAATCTTGTCCCTGACATCCTTGGAGAGCTCTTTGGTCTTGACCATGGTGGAGAGTTTGGAATCTGATTGATTGATTGCTTCTGTGGACAGGTGTCTTTTATACAAGTAACAAGCTGAGATTAGGAGCACTCCCTTTAAGAGTGTGCTCCTAATCTCAGCTCGTTACCTGTATAAAAGACACCTGGGAGCCAGAAATCTTTCTGATTGAGAGGGGGTCAAATACTTATTTCCCTCATTAAAATGCAAATCAATTTATAACATTTTTGACATGCGTTTTTCTGGATTTTGTTGTTGTTATTCTGTCTCTCACTGTTCAAATAAACCTACCATTAAAATTATAAACTGATCATTTCTTTGTCAGTGGGCAAACGTACAAAATCAGCAGGGGATCAAATACTTTTTTCCCTCACTATATCTCACGTGTAGGAGCAAGTGTTCGAGCGGCAGTAAGGCACGCGCACACACGCAAGTGAATGTGTGCATTGAAAAGAAGAAACCCACGTTGGGACACCGGTTATGTTTAGAATTGTTCGCATGCAAGTTAAAGTTAGAATTAGAATGTGTAAACACATTAAATCGGCTAAAGATATCTTTAGGTAACCCGAGAAGAGGACAAATGCTTCTACGATAACTGAACAGGCGGATAAATCCGTCTACACAACAGGCGGATAAATCCGTCTACACAACAGGCGGATAAATCCGTCTACACAACAGGCGGATAAGTCTGTCTATACAACAGGCGGATAAGTCTGTCTATACAACAGTCGGATAGATCCGGACGCTCGTACACGAGTACGTAATGATAATTTACGTTTGCAAAGTGGCGCATTTCATCCGTAGATCCCATTGCGCCGGCGTGTATGGAAAGTCAGCAAATAAACAGAACCTGCAGGGTAAGAGCGGCCAGAACTTCGGGGGTTAAAGGCCGCTTCAAGGAGGTGAGACAAGACTTGAATATATCTAACGAATCCGACTGTCTTGTCGGCGAAGACAAAGGGTTCCCGAAAGAGTTGGAGCTGCACATTGGCAAAAAGGCCGATCAGCGCAGGAGGCAGAGCCTTGAACTCGGAGCACTCAAGAGGAAGGCGATCCGTTGATCTCAGAGACCTCGTTGGTGTACGAAGATGGCTCTGTTCCTACGTATGAAGAACTCCTCCTAAGATCGCTCCACCAAATATCAATGAATGAGAACAAATTCTTGGTTCTTTCGGTAAAGTCACGTAGAAGGGAAACAATAAAATAATAAAAATCTAAAACAATATTATTTTATTGTTTCCCTTCTTCGTGACTTTACCGAAAGAACCAAGAATATGAATCCCTGCAGTCATGAAAGCTTTAAATCAGAATGAGAACATGTTATTATTATTTGGCGATCCTGCTGCTGCGTTGGCGGTGGTGGACAAAGCCCAATGAACAAAACTCAAAAAGCACTCGTCAACAACGCCGTGGCCTTGAAAGGAAAAGTATAAAATAGGCGACGTCTTGGGCAACGGCCCTTCCTTCACAGCACATCCAGAGTTAACGAGAGCGAGGAGTCATCCGACAGCTCATGATATCAGAATGGGAATGTTTATTCGGACCCGAGAGGAGGAATCTGATGAGCTATGAAGCTCTTATTCACAGACGTCCAAGTCGGGGTGGCACGGGGTCAGAAAATTACAACTAACGTGAGAAAAACCGACAGGCGTGCAAAGTCTAGGAAATGTAAGCAAGTAGTGACTAAAAATAAAATAAAAACGTTCAAGTACAGGAAACAAGCACAAATTGCAAAAGTACATCAACTCCTGCCAATTTATCAACACTAAACACATGCCTGGGAAAGGCGTCAAAGCAACACAACAAGTCCCAGGCCACAACAACAACACGCGGTCCCTCAATACAATTGCATTATTTTTGATACGATGTTTACGTAAGGCCGGTCTAAATTACGAAAAATTACAACTTTGAACCGGTAATTTGGACTATTGTCCCTGGTGCTGCGTATCCATTCTATCGTTTATAACAACCAGGTGGCTCATGACGAGTACCCCATTTAAAAACCATGCAATGAATAGGTGTGTGCCATTGGGGAGGGAGGGAGGGGGCGTGGGGAGGGGGTGCGGCAAGAACCTTTGAATCTGAGCTGCTTCCCACTGTATTCTAGAAACTGGTGAGTCAATGAAGTTGATGACAGGTGAGTGGCGAGTCAGGCGAGTTGCTGTCTGGTTAGGCTCGGGTAAGTTAATGACTCGCAGAAACGCCCTCATAGGCTCGGGAGAGACACGCCGACTTCCATCGAGACTCGCGGAGAATCATTGAGACCCACAGAGACTCCTGGACTTTCACAGAGACGCGGAGACAGATAACCTTAACAGTAATTCCCCGTTTAACGCGGTAGATGCGTTCCCGACGGGTGCCACGCTTAGCGAAAAACGCAGAAAGCGAAAACTCTTTCCCCATCAATGTCACTATAAAGTTTGGCGAGACACAATGTACTACGCACCCACAGTGAGATGGTGGGACACATAACTGTATCATACCGCGTACTATATCGTACCATTCAGCCGCGCGGTTCAGGAAAGTAGTTTGCCGTCGACCGCTCAGGAACCGTGTTATAACGGTGCGTGTTCCACATTATAACAGTGCGCATTCCGTGTTATAACGTTGCGCGTTTCACATTGTGCGAAAAGTGATCCCTAATGGTACGACCGCATTACAGCGAAAACGCGTTGTGCAAACGCACATTAAGCGAGGACTTGCCATGATATAATTTCGTTCTTGCGAGAAACGGGGGGAGAGAGTGTGGCGGGGTGAGAGTTGCATGGAGTTGTGTATGCGTGCGTGCGGAGGTATTTTCTTTGTTCGGTGGGTGCACTATCTATGTAGGTATGGAGGAGTTCTCCGTCAAACACCGACTGAGATTTTAAGAAAGAAATGTCACACGTTATACAGCTCATGGGGATGGGAAGAGGTCAAACATAGGATTCGGTAAAATTAATTTTAAAAAGCTGAATTGATACTTAAACCAAAGTCCACAAACACAGAAACGACGTTTTACTGATCAGAAAAAAAAATACTGGCGAGTGGTGTTAGGCAAGTTGGTGACGACTGGTGAGCGGTCAATGTCTGATGAGGGTCAGGTGAGTGTGCAGTGAGGGTCACGTCACCTCGACCATAGGACGGGCTGCTCCTGAGAACCAAAACAATGCACACTCCATCTCATCGTCGCTTTGTACACGCTTTCATTTAACTCACTCTGTCTGTTGTTGTTGTCGTTGTTGTCATTGTATCCTCAAATCTTGTAACTCTATTTTAACCCACTTCCCAATGTGGTATCGACTGCAAACTTGGTATACTTATGTCATACTGATGACAATACTATATTCTATCATTAAAAAAATATATTATTTTAAACAATCATTTTTATATATTATGTTTTGGCTTGGGTCTAATTGTCCACGCTCAACTGACGTTATCTGTAAATTACCACGGGCCTTTTACGTTGTGGCAAGCTTCAGGACCACTTCCTGGAGTCGTGGACTTCTTCCATTACTAGTACGGTACATTTCATGAAATCGTGTTTTTAACTATTACTTATTTCGGTGATAACAGATTACGGAAAGGACAACAGTGGCACTGACCAGAGAACCAAGGTTGTCACCTCGTGCCGTGACGCGTCTGCCTACTGAAACAGCCGACTGTGTGTTGCGTGTTTTGTTCGTGCAGCGCATTGTCTGTGCATTTCTCCCTTGTGATGGGGGACTTTGTAGGATGAACGTTGAGATTTATAAGGGGCACGGGGTAACCAATAAGGTCTGAATTGTTCTGTAATAATGTAGGGCACTGATAAGGGGTTGACAGCTATGAACACGAAATGATCACGATTGTCTTGTTTTTTTTTTAAAGCTTTACAAACCTCGACTAAAATTTGGTTTGTGGCAGAGCGCCAGCATGGCAGGCCCTCGCGCTATGCAATGAAACCTGGCGGCCCGGTATCGATTCCCGGACACGACCAGCAACAAAGCTACCCCGGGGCACTGATCGGTCTGGGCGAAATATTTTCAAACAACCCCCCCCCCCCCCCACCCACCCCCACCGTTCGCATGCCCCATCCGGCGGTATCATCCAGCGGCGAGACCGTCGCTTTGGCACGCCGGGGGGGGGGACGATTACTCACCGGCACGTCGAAGATCTTCTCCGTGTCATCCAGCAGGTGCACGGTGATGGGCAGCAGATTCCCGTGGGTCTCCGCGGCCGACTCGTCCGACCGCGTGGCTCGGACCGGCGTGGGCTTCCCCCTGGCCGCTTCCGCCGTGTCCACGCGCCGGTACGTGCCCTCGATCTCCCCCATTGGCGCGGCCGTGGGGACGCGCCGACGAAGCGGGCGAGCTCTGGGTTAGATCCTGCGGCACGACGGGCAGAGGGGGAAGGGGCGGACGCGCACGATCAGGGCCCGACTTGTCTCGCGGGATTATTTCAGGTCCGTCTGTCGCGCGCAGTCGAACCTCGCGAGAGCTGTGGGCCAGATGAAGAGATTGAGGGGACGACAACGTCCTCACAAAGTTGTGCGAACTCGAGAGTAGAGACTCCAAATGTGAATTCGCAGTCGCCGTCGTTAGTGCTAAACGAAACTTTTTTATTTTACCCTGTAAGGACCCCGGAGCTACGTAGCTCTTGTTTCAGAAGTGACCTGGCCACAGATGATAGCTCAACGAAGTGGCTTAGCATCATGCGGAAATTTCTAGCAGTCAAATACTCTAAGCGCACCATGATTCTATTTGTGGAGGGAAAAATCGGAGGACCCGGAGAAAATTCCACACGATCACGGGCAGGGGCGGAGCCAGAATTTTCAGCCCGGGGTGACATTCAACAAATTTTTATTTCAAGAATGATTAGAGAGTCAGGCTGTTGAACTAGACGCCATCGGTTGGCGACACACTCTGACAATGCAGTTGCACGGAGTCCGCCAGACCGAGTGTCGTACACTTATGCGCAGAATGTTTCAGATTTTCGAATTTTTTTTCGGGGGTGACAATTGTCTACCCTGTCACCCCCCTGGCTCCGCCCCTGATCACGGGGAAAGAGATACGCAAACTCCAAATATACAATCGGCATCAGGGTCGGGATCGAACCCATGACCTCCTGTATACCGGGTGAGATAGTTAACATCTCCTAGCCACCGTGATGGTGATGAGAGAGAAACACAAACTCCAAATATACAATAGGCATCAAGGTCGGGATCGAACCCACGACCGCCTGTACACCGGGCGAGGTAGTTAACATCTCCTAGCCACCGTGGCGCCCTGGAGGAGCCACGCAGCCAGATGACAACCTGGATGTGGTGTGCCGGGCGCGGAAATATTTTCCTAGCCGCCGTCTCGGACGGACCCCGGCTGGAATGAAGCCCCGGTACTGGCTCGGAGTGAGAGCCACCGTAGACAATTTCGTCCACGTAGGCTCTCTAAACGACAGGGGAGTGGACGTGCCCGTGCTCGTTCACGTCTGCTCATACGCGGCAAGTGCATCTACAGCCCCAGTTCGTTTTGTGCAATCCGCTGCTGGATGACGGCCTCCCCCCCCCCCATGCCCGTGCGCTCCGTGAACGTTATTTGACCGTCGCTCGCCACGTTGGTCCATCGTGCCCGACTGATGAAGTCGGGGGGAGCATGGAAGTACAGTCCAGTTGTGCTGCTCTGCCCTTTACCGCCCATCACGCAGCCCCGCGCAGCCTTTACCACCCGCTCGTGAATGGCGGTCGCCCAATCTGAACGAGGTTCGCCAGGCTCAAGGCAGCTTAGCTTGCGAGATCTGACGATATGGTCACTGGGGAAAACTTGCTTACGTAAAACTCTGCTACGCCAGTTGTTGGCCTTCCCCTCCCCCCGCACCTCCAATTAGCACGGTTTGGCGACTTAGGGTGTGAACGAAGCTCAGCGTACACGCATACACGCTTCCGCGCTGCGCCGTGGCAGCGGGGTGTACGAATTGCAAACCCCGAGGCAAGATTACGTTTCCGAGCTGAAGTGGGGTGTGACACGGGGCAAAACGCCCGAAGGTGGTGTGAGCATACCTTTAAAAAAAAAATACAATTGCATTTTTAAACTGGAATTACATCCATCATTCCCTCCTCATTTAAAAATTAAATACCCAGATGATGGGCAAGCGTCTCCTAGGGTGCGGCGTCTTGAGACGCGGTCATTCAAAGGAGGAACCTTTGAATGAATTGTTAGGAGGTAGAGGCGCAGCCCTGCAATTGCTCGCTTAAACGTCACTGCTGGCGGAAAGTAACTCCACTCGTGGGAGATCCGGAGGTGCCACTCCAGGAGGTTGCCGTAGTCGGCCTGCTTTTTGAAACTGGAAAGACGTCTTGGTAGAGGCGATTCAGAATCACGGGTGGAATCGCTTCTAAATCCACACAATATCCTCGTGCCACAGAGCGGCTTGATTTGTCGATGCCCAATGAACGTGCAAACGTTGGCTTAACGTCGGTACGTGTTTTGGGGCCCGACGTTCCACGCTTTGCGGGGTTGTCGCTTCGACAACATTTTGTTACCATGGGAATCCCAAAAAGTAGCTTTGACCTGGCAAACAAAACCACGAAAGTTGGCAACTCCCCCCCCCCACCACCACCTCCATAAAAACTGGCCAAATCCTGGGGTCAAATGTCACAAGGCTGCAACAACCCGGGGACCTTTCCCAACAAACGCCACGCTCAGCGTGCCATCACGGCACCCGCACGGGGGGGGGGGGGGGTTAGTGTGTGCGGTGGGATACGGGGTTGGTGCAGCACGCGGCGCGAGACCCCTGCGAGTCTCGTCACGCGCGACTTCACGAGGACTCGTCAGGCCGACAGGCCGGACTGGTCCGCCCACACCCGCCCCGACCACCTCAAACCACCGACGACCCATTTTCTCCACCCCCTGCACTCCCATCCACTCGCTCCGCCACCCACACCGCCGTGCGCGCTGCAGCGTAAAGTTCACGGTTTGCAATAATTGCACGCTCCGACAGTACAGTGCGGCGCGCTGCACTAATACAGCCGACGGATCCCACCTCCCCCACCCCACCCCACGCAAAGTCACCAGCCGGAATGTGGCCCGTCTCGTCAGAGATCTCAGGAAACGACGGAGGCGAGCGAGCGTGGTGGGAAGGAGAGCGCGGCAGAGTCGTCTGGAGGGCTCTACCGTGCGCGCCACCCACGCGCCCGCCCGCCTGCCCGCCAGCCCACGGCACCCAGGCGTTTTTCGAGGCGGGCAGGAGGGCAGTCGTGCGGAAATCCCACCGTTGCACTGCACTTCTGTGCTCCCACGTCTGGTGCTTGCCTCCACCCCTTGTCACCGAGCCGCACTGGCTGGCACCGTGAAGTATGGCGGTAACGGCAAACGCCGTGCCCCCACCGCAGGGTGTGGAGAGGCCCTCGTCCAGCAGTGGACGGACTAAAAAGGGCCGACAAGTTTTTGGGACGCCACACTTTGTGGAAGCGTGCGAACACAGCGATGCATTTGGGTGGCACTCAACCTTTGTGGAATTCTACAGTTAACAGAACGGCATAATATCACAGAACCATACCAACCACCACCAGTAGCCATTCTCTATTCACTGTTGGAAGCTACATGGCAGTGCAGCGTCCCCTCTCATTCCACCCCAGCTGCAATCCATACGGCATCACGGAACGTAACAATAACAACAACATAGCACTGCTGGAGAGGGATCCGTGGGAGACTATTCGGTTCCAGTCCAGTGGTTCTTAACCTGGGTGCATGGACCCCTGGGGGTGTGAGATTCCCTTTGTGGGGGTGCGAGACATGGCCAGATATGTTTTCAGAAGGTAAATCATCGAAAACACAAATCAAGCACGCGCACGTACGTACAACTTCTTTGTTTCATCAAGCCTATGTATTTATTAACAAAACAAAATTTTTCGTAACGGTTGAGAACACAACAGCGCGCGGTCCGGTCCACCGACAACTGCTGCTGCTGCGTTGTGCAATCAAAATGGGTCTGTCGTCGTGGCCACAAGCCGGCTGATCCTCACCCCGCAATCACCAAATCAAGCTCTCCGCATGCGCCAGGTGAAAAAAAGCCAGCAGCTACTGCTGCTGCTGCAACGGTAGCCACACGCGGCGACATCCCGCGATCCGCCCTCGCAGCCTCCCATCACCTGCTCTAGGATCCTGTGCTGTGGTTAAAAGGTTTTTTTTCTTTTCAAACGCGTAGTAGGGTCGCCAACTCTTTTGACTTTTGGTCGCGCTATTCAAAAAAGGTATTTTTTTTTTAATATCCGATTAAAATCTCTCCCTAAGGATGACGATACCAATTCCGGTAGACTCCTAGTCATCTCCGCAAGGGAATGACGCCAATTCCAGTAGAGTGCCCTGGACAATCCGGGAGGGGTTGTGGCGACCCGAGCAGGAGGTGAGTGGCGATGACTGCGAGGTGAACGACTGTGGTCCCATTTAGATTAAGACGTTCAATTTAAACAAAACGATGTACAAGTTTAAACAACAACAAAATATTACCACACACCCAATGGCGTGATTGTGCGTAATTTTCACTCGGCACGGTGTAACAACATATTCTTGGTTCTTTCGGTAAAGTCACGTAGAAGGGAAATAATAAAATAATAAAAATGAAACAACCAAAAATTCTCACGACGTTACGATTGCAACACAAGCAATCATCATCAGGTGTGAAAAACCCACAGGAAGAACATTTGAAAAAAGTGGCGGTGTTTTTTTTTTACACCTGATGATGATTGCTTTGTGTTGCAATCGAAACGTCGTGAGAATTTTATTGTTTTATTTTTATTACTTCCCTTCTACGTGACTTTACCGAAAGAACCGAGAATATGAATCCCCGCAGTCACGAAAGCTTTAAATCGAAATTCATGGTGTAACATCTTGTTGGCCTACGGCCACGTGATAAGGGCACAGCAGGTTGGGTGGCCAGGGCCTGCCCTCCACCGTGATGACGACAAACCCCCCTCTCTCAGCGTGGACTCGACGAGCGAAGTCACCACGAGCTGCAACTGGCGACGTCGGTGCCCCCGTGCGACCGAGTGATTTAAACGACGACCAAAATCCAGGCGAGGGCCAAGGGGACGTGGTGGGCAGATGCCACCCTCCGTGAAGAGCGTTGTCTGTCATGCGCTGCGTGAGTGCCAACCTTGCACGCTCTTGTTTTTCGAAATTCCTTTCCACAATTTTTTCTCATGCAAGACGTTTAACTTATGTACGGTAATACTCATTGAAACATCTATTTCGAGGGATATGGGGAAAGTGCTTTGAACGAACGACGCCACCGGGGTCTCCAACGTGGCCACCCTGGGTACTTTGAATCTGGGGCACACTCCACGACCTTAGGAGTGTACGAGTGTGTGTGTGTGGGCAGCGGTAGTGTCGCA